TGGGGGGGGGGGGGGGGGGGGGGAGTGCTCCCCCCCCAACCCTATTGTCAGAGAAAACATATAACCCAAGGAAAACTTCCAAATTGATGAGAAGCTGGCATTGGTTTTTGAAAAACAACAAAATGAATAAATGATTTCAACTTACCCATCGGTTCTTTGATGATATCGAAATAATCCGGTGCCTCGTCCGCAGTAACAGGTTCCAAGAATGGCCATGACATTTTGTGACTCTGAAAAAATGAAACATCTTAAATTAGAACATAATCACACCCACTCAGCAATAACAGTAAGTTTATGGGATTCATTAGAGCACACATACTAATCAGTTCAATAAACTCACTGCGAGTATTAATCGATAAAAAATACATATGACCTACCACAAGTATAAGACGTTCGTCCTAGTAAACAATACTTCCCAAAAATATAAAGAAAGAAATAATTTTTCGTGGATGTGCCCATGTTCTAGGGAGACTATATCCCATCCTATACTAATCACTAATAAAAATGAATGATTTTAGGGAGTTTGCCTGATCCCACCTGTAAAGAGCGAACAATTCGTTTTAATGACTCGTAGTCCTTCTCCGTGAGTGGCCTCTGGTCTTGGTTGTCAGCGGTGTTCTTACATTTTGGACATATATAGCTGTCGATGTTGTCAGCCTCGGTTTGGGTTATACCAACGCAGCTACCGTGAAACCATCCCTGGCACCGATCACACCCAACGTAGAACCTATAAAACATGAGAAATTTACACGACTACACACGTAAAAACACACAAGTTATAACAAACCTGCAGCAGACTTGTAGCAATGCTGTTCCAACAACTTGTCAACAGGATGTGTTCGCACTGCTTGTTCCCAGCTTGTTGACAAGTTGTCAACGATTTGTTTGCCAACTTGCTGCAAGGATGTTGAGCTCAACAGATTTGTTACAAGTTGTTCCAACAACTTGTTATCGTCAATTTGTCAACAAGTCGTGAGTGACAACCTCGTAGCAACGTGATAAAATAGCAGCATTGTTGCAACTTGTTGACAAGCTTGCTACAAGCCTGTTGCGAACACATCTTGTTGACAAGTTGTGAGATTTTGTCGTGTGCACTATGCACTATCATGGCTTTCAAAACAAGCCGGCGGCTGCCGTGTTGTTATAAGGTTTGCTGCCGCTACATTCTTTAAACTACAGTATACTGTGTATCCATCTCGCTTCTTTTACGGTTCGTGGCCATAAAGTACGCCTGTTTTCAGTAATGATACACGGTTTACATACTTGGTTTCGTCATAAGGTTGTCTACATATACAGTACAATTCCTCTTCTTCGACCGTCTTTTGCTTCTGCACACATTCATTACACACGTACTCGTTCATGGCGTTCGCATCTTCCGAGGAAATACCCACACAGCGTCCATGGAACCAGTTCTTACAGAGATCACAGCCAACGTAGAATCTAAAAAATGTACATGGCAGAATGGTTGGTGCATAAGCTGTTCATCTCTGCTCTCGGGGTTTGGATTCTTGCAATATTTTGCGTCACAGGTAACAGTGCCGTCAGATATCAGATAGATAGTGCTAACAGGGGTGGATTTAAGGTGGGGGGGGGGGGGTGCACCCACTCCCCTTCGCAAATAGGGTACAGCGGTGCAAGGGGGTGCCAATGTCCTTATCAGATAGACACCTGGACCATGCCAGAGACAGTGTTTCACTGTTACCCGTAATTATACACTTGGTTAATTTAGAACTGATAGAGTTCCCAGTATAAATAAAGTTAGTTTAGGCTTCCTCCTCTACTAAAACAAGACGGCGCGGAGTAGGGGACAATTTAGAGCTGATAGAGCTATCTAGTATAAAGCAATAGACATACTTTGGAATCAAAATACATACTCGGTATCATTATATGGTGTTTTACACACACAATACAAAGGCCCCTCTTGTTTGACCCTCTTTTTGGGCACATAGGAATATTCCGTCTCTTCGCCATCACTACTCTCACAACTCCTTTTCCGTAATATGGCCAACTCTCCTTGTATTTGCTGAGTCATGTCTTTTTCCAACAAAGCACGTTTCCTCATAATCTGTTTCTTGAGAGTTTCCTTGCGTTTCTGCAAAAGGCTGTCGAGTTTTTGGCTGTTTAGTCTCGCCATTTTTAACACCATGTTCTCCTCACGGAAACGTTTTCGCATCTCTTTGCGTTCCTCGTTCTTCTCGTTTCGTTCGATCTTCTCAATGATCTGATCCAAAGTGCGTCGACATGCAGCCGTTCTGAAACGAGTGGAAATTAACCCATTTAGTGCCAGCGCTCTCCCCTTGACGAGTAAAATCGTCTGGCGTTAAGGTCCGGACACACCGGACGCGATTCGTCAACGCGACGCGATTTTTAGTTTTTGAAAGTTAATAAAATAGACAATGAGAGCAAATTTGGAAAGATATGTAGACCAAATAACTCAAAGTATTATAGCGCTTCTAAATATTTGGAAAATTTAAACTAGGATCAAAGTTATCGGTCAGTGAAAATCGAAAAATCGCGTCGCGTTGTCGAATCGCGTCCGGTGTGTCTGGACCTTTAGACAGATTAAATAATCTGGCATTAGACAGAGTAAAATAATAATAGAGTAGGGCGCAATACGGCGCAATGTAAATCAATGGATACTAGACACAAGGTCCTGATTAAACTTGTAGAGTTACCTAGTACAAATAATTGAGTTTCAGATTGACTTCCGCTACATCTCACAGGTTTAATACGCATTTGATTGGTTAATCGGGTAGATTAAATGCATTTGATTGGTTAATCGGGTGGCTCAAATGCATTTGATTGGTAACGGTAGTGGAAGTCAAAATCAGAACCTCTCTAATCTTAGTTTAAACCAACACCTTACCTGCTCAATTCTTCCCTACTCTCAGCAGTCAAATACTTGGATGCCATCGGATACATTGGCAACGAGTAGTTTCTTCTGACCGTCTTCATTTTCTTTGCCTGTTTCACAGTATCTCTAGACGTGTGTTTTAGTCGCTGACTCATAGCTGCCATTCTTGCCAGAGACTTCGTGGGTTGAGGTTTCGGAATTACTCCGACGGACACCGTCTTCTTTATACCTAGAGAAAGTTTAAGAGAAAATTATTTCATTCACTGTGGTCCGGTGTAGGAATTGTCATACAATAAACAGGCTTGTAGCAAGCTTGTCAACAAGTTGTAACAATGCTGTTATTTTACCAAGTTGCTACAAGGTTGTCACTCACAACTTGTTGACAAATGGTTGAATTCCAGGACGATAACAAGTTGTTGAAGCAACTTATAACAAGTCTGTCGAGCTCAACAACCAAGC